AAAAGGGGACTCAATAGGACTTCACCTTCCTAGGCCTAAGTATTCCCTCGTGCAATGGGAAAGTCATAGTCAACGTAGTTCAGAGGACTACGGGTGAAGGGGAAGGTTGCTTGCCAAGACTTCACCGTCTTGTGCCTACGTATCTTTATATGATATGAGAAATTAGAGCAGTCATAGTTCGGCTCACGAATTGTTAAGTGTTTTTTATGAGCGATGCCAAGTTTGCGTCTCAGCAGTTAGGATCGATGTCTGTTTTTGGTAGAACAGAAATAACATGCCTTTTTTGTAAAGGTTTGACAAACGATCCCGAAGGAAAAAATGATTTGAAGTTCATTTGTGAATTTTAAAGAAGTGAATTGACTTTATTTGGGATATGCATCGCACTAAAGTCTATGACATAGGATTGAATACTTCGCGCTAACAATTCAAGCGTCTCGCGCACAAAGTACCCTAAGATGAGGTTAGAAATTCATTCGCACATCTTTTCCCATGTGCTTAAGGCTCGTGGTGCATAATGCACATCATATTTATTACATGTTTTGGTTTTGTTTTAAAAAGAGAAGAGAAAGGAGCATGAAAGGTATAAGGGAAAACTCGATCCTAACGTTGTCATGCAAAGTGGCCCTAAGGTCGGGATGCGAGAGGAAACTCTGTCCTAATGTTAGCATGCAAAGGTGGACTTAAGATTGAGGTTAAAAAGGGATTAACCTAATGTTATCATGCATAGATTAACTCCTAATGTCTATCCTACTCCAAGCTTAATCAAAATTAAGTCGGACTAGGAGGGCTTAAGGGATCATGCAAGAACAAACCGAAACAAATAAAGTAAACCCAAAAAATAACAGCTACAACAACACTTCAGCTCAGAATAGCAGTAAAGTCCAACAAATATGCAGAACAACATTTAGTAGCTCTTATTTCTAGAATAGGATAGGTGTAAAATGTAGCAAGACAAAACATGTACATTTAACAGCATGTTTGTAGCACAACAACAGTGTATACAACAACATGCAGTGCATCAAAACAAATGCTCATCCATAGGTATCAAGCAAGGATGATCATGTAACAACACAAAATCAAGTTGAGCATGCACCAAAGAATAATCAATTCATAATAAGCATGTCCACGGTTAAGGCATAATCATGCATCACAAGGAATAAACAAGAACATGCTTTCACATTTAAACAAATGCACATGGATTGCAAACATGAATGAACATCAAGCAATAGAAATTGACACACATGTGTAGACAATTAAGCACAAGCAATCTTCAACAACAATGCACAACCAAACATTCAACAAGATCGATTAACACTGTGAAAGTAGCAAAAAACACGCAACACAACAGTGTTAATCGATTAAACCCCTACTGTTAACCGATTAACACTGTAACAGAAGCAGAAAATCACCAATTTAAAAGCACTTTAAGCAGGAAATCAATTATGCAATCATCCACATGCTTAGGCAATCAATTGTACACGAAAATTACATCAAATCATAGCAATCAAACACCAATTTACTCCATCCAACAACAAGATCAATAATCAAAGCAATCAATGGACCAAATATCATCAAAATCTTATAGATCTACATTGTAAAATTCAAAATTAAGAAAAATCAAAGTTAGATCTAAAAATTACCAACCTACAAAACTGAGATTTGTTTTGGTGAGTGTTGATAAACTAAAATTGATGGATCAAAGCAAAAAAACCAGAGACTTATGAAGCTTTAACAAGAAAACTTGAAGATCCAAGTAATAATCCAAAAATAAGCAAAAGGATCTTCAAGAAGTGATTCTAAAACTTGATCAAGATCCAAATAGGTTGTAACTTCAGATTTGAACAATGGAAGATGATGTAATGGAGGTTTAACTCAAGAATTCACAAAATTGCAATGTACAATTTATGAAGCTTTTGGTTATGGAGCTTTTGTGAGGGTTTTGGGTTGAAAGTGAAAATGAGAGAATTGTAATGAGAAGTATAGTGAAATCAGAAAAAGTGAGTGAAGTTATGAGAGGTTTGGAGTGAATTAGCTTAAATAAGCTCTATGTTAGGAGTGCAAATGAGGTTTTGAGTGTGGGTTTTGAATTAAGAATGAGATTAGGAATTTGATTATGGGGGGAATTTGAATTAATTTTGAAAATGGACCAAATTTTGGAGTCAATTCTAGATCCTTCCAACTGGTGTAAAATATGCTCTCAAGTGATCAAAATTGGATACCAAATGCTGCAGCGTTAAAAAATGCAATTCCTAGGCAAAATTCACCTTGGTTAACCGATTAACCATTTTCCTTGCAAATTGGTTAATCGGTTAACACCTTCAAAATTTCAAAATTTGATGCCTTAAAGAGGGAAACTTAGATAATCGCTTGTTGCCACCTATTATGAGCACTATTGTGCCTATGAAACTTGTCATCTAATATTGCACCTGAGTACTTCCTGAAATAAACATTGAATTGTCTCTTGCACTCAAAATATCTGGCTAAAAAATATAATCTGGCGTCCTATTGCTGAGAAAAATAAATGTTGAAGCCTCTAGTACTTGCTGCTTAAAAACTTGAAATAAAAGGAAGTTCTGAGTCACAAAAACAACTTGATTCTATGTTTCAAACACCAATGTCATGGTATCATTAATGATGATGCAAATAAATGAAACATAAGCTAGTTAGGGTTGAACAGAGAGGACAAATTTTGGGGCGTTACATCACCTCTGCACACAAAAGCAACAAATAATAGACAACACCTGAAATTAACAATTGAATTCGACTGATATGCATCAGCCAGACCAACAAACTATTGTCTAAAACAGTTTTGCAACAAAATACAATCGACGACACGAGTATTATTAAAAACACGACAACAACCTTATGGACCAACAAACTATTGTCTAAAACAGTTTTGCAACAAAATACAATCGACGACACGAGTATTATTAAAAACACGACAACAACCTTATGGATAGTTGGTTTGAACCCAAACCCTTCAACCTTGTAATATAAAGGATTGTACTCGAAAGAGCTAGAACCAAGAACTAAAAAGAGTTTGGAAACACTTTTTAATCAAAACTCGTCCATATCATAAGAGAGACGAAAACACTTTTTAATCCTATATCTCATATCCAGTATATGCTGCCTTGAGTGCTCCTCGTATGGGTAACCACCTGAATTTTGTAATTTTGTTTTTCAGAAGTAACTTGCTTCATTGACAAGAAAGCATATTTATAGAATACTATAGTTTGATTTCTCTGTTATTAATTTTTCATAGTTGCATTTCACATTCACATACAAATAAGGTAATAGTTATGCCTCCTTATCTTTGCATATAGTTAATTTACTTTTCTTTTTTCTACAGAAATACTCAAGTTCGATAACCTCCAACAATTAGCAAAAGCCCATATTTGTAAGCTACTACTTTATTTTTATCTTCATGATGAAAGACCAGTGGGATGTTGATTCCACCAAAAGGCCACTAATGTTATGTGTAAGGGCCAATGTGAGGATAAATTTTGAATGCAATAAACTAGTTTTATTAATCTGAAGCTAGGCTTACTTGTATCGTGTCATTTTCCATGTAATGATACACTCAAAGCTAATATATATCATATGTTTTGTAGGAAAACTTTGAACTCCTCTCTAGATGTATCAAAGAGAATTTGGGATTCAAAAATGGTAGACCTGTTGCATCTTGTATCATAAACAAATGTCTTCATCAGTGGCATGCTTTTGAATCTGAAAAAACTTTCTCCATATTATCATTATCTTTCTAATTTGTAATACTACTAGTACGTCCTAATGAATGGACGAGATTGAGATTACTCCTTATGGTAAGAAAATCATATCAGAACATGAAGATAATATCAATCAATCTATGTATCATCTAAGAGAAAAGGGGGATCAAGAGAACCTTAAAAGATGAAAACATAAAGAGCGTGTAGATTAATAAACAAAGATTTGGAGCTTAAGTTAGGTTCGATTATCCTCCCAACACAAAACCCAAGGACCTTCTTAGTTCCACTTCTACTTCACTTGTTGTCGATTTGAAACGAAAACAATTAAGGATTTATAGAACGCAACTAGTAAGAAATTTTCAGGAAAAGAAGATGAAGAGAGAGGGTAATGGATTCAGGGTTTGCAGAATGTGTATACCTAGTGGAAATTTTTTCAGAAAAAGAAGATTAAGAGACCGAAATATTTTGACAGAAGGAATTGGGGTTTATTCAATTTTATTATTATCTTGTAATAACGTTTATATCATATAGATCATGATGTTATGAATAGTTCTTTTAGATAAGCTAAGTAGCCCAGTGGATAAGTAAGTTTTCACACCTCGAAGGTAACGACTTCGAGTCGGGTCGGCATGCAAAAGCTACAAATTTATTTTTTAACTATCTCAATATAAGATCGCGCGTTAAGTAAAGCGCTTTCAAATGTGCGCCTTAAAATTTGACCCTCCAAGTTTGAGTACGAATCTTGTTGGCCTTATATTATTTTAAAATCTCAATATATATCTCAATATAAGATAACACTTTTAGTAAAGTGCTATCATAGGTGCGTGTTAAATTTTTACGTGTTTTTCATTATCTATGATATCGCTTATTTTTAAGCACTAATAAAGGCCACTTATTTTTCATTATCTATGATAGCGCTTATTTTTAAACACTAATAAAGACCACACACACACACACACACACACACACACACATATATATATATATATATATATATATATATATATATATATATATATATATATATATATATATATATATATATATATATATATATATATATATATATATATATATATATATATATATATATATATATATATATATATATATATATATACAGGGCCGGCCCAATCAATCTAGAGGCCCTGTTTTAATTTAATAAATAGGCCTAAATCTAAAATATATATATAATTTAATAATAAAAAAATACACTAAAAATTCAAAGTATTGTTTAAACTAATAATATCTTTTTATACAATATAAAGTTTCTAACTACTTAAAAAGAGCCTTCCTCCTAACACTTTTTGAAGCAAATTCATCAACCAAATCTTCATATTTTACTGTCTCCAAAAGATCATTTTCAACTGCTATCAACGCCAATCCGTTAAGTCTTTCTTGTGACATGGTAGACCGCAAGTAAGTCTTTAACAACTTATACATGTTCTTAACATGTTCCATGCCTAACTCGTGCTCTTTAATTCTTGCACCAACATGTGACCAATCACTATAGCCCTCATTTGCTAATTGTCCCCTACCAATCCCATTTTTTAAAACTTTACAACAGAAACAAAATACTCTATCAAGCTCTTTTGAATAAACAAGCCAATCTCTATCACACTTCTCTCCATTTGCTAAAGCTCTAGTATACAAATTAGTCGTAAAGCGTCGATTCCAATTATCTCTAGGACCCCTCACAATAGAATTATCCCGTTTAGGCCCTTTCATAACTAATAAATCAATCATTTTAGGTTGAAGACGATCCCAATTTCTTGGATCAAATATATCGTAATCAACATCATCATCATCATCATCATCATCATTAACTTCCTCAAGATTATCATCATCATTATTAACTTCATCATCGATAGGTACACTATCAGCATTATCATTTTCAATAGGCACACTATCAACATTATCATTTTCAATGGGCACACTATCAAGAATTTCAACATTAGTATTATCAACATAATGACTTTCATTTGGAACTTGTGGTTCTTTTATCAAAAATTTATCAAGAGCTCCTGCTTGAGATTGAATTAACTCTTCAATTTTTTTCCTTTTCTTACGTTTATCATTTCCACATTCATACTTTCTATTCTTAGGAGGCATAATAGGAGGCATAGTAAAAAAAAACCTGGAATATCTCACAATGTCTTGTGTCCGCCAATGATCAACTCTGCAATATTTACTAGCAATCGATCTATTTGTAGCCTCGTTGTTAAATTAAGTTCCTACAATAAATTATTAATTAGTGCAAGCAAAAATAGTACCAGAAAAAAAAAACATGTTTGTAATCATCATAAAATAGGATTATTATTTATTAATAATACTTTAATTATATTATCACTATTTTTACTAACACTACTATGAAATATACAGAAAATAAAATGCTCCAAAATTAATTATTTTTAATTTAATCTTACTGTTGTTGATATTTTCTATTACAATTAATTCTAAATTTTAGATTCTATCATAAACTATTGTCTATTGAGATAATTGAATGAGTCACACACATAGAAATGACATACTCTTGACACAACAATATAAAAAGCACTTCTTTGACAGCTTGCAATCTTTCTATCACACTTCTTTGACAACTTGCAACCTTTCTACTTTTCAATTAGTTTTTAATATGAACTAATCAAAACTCAAAAGTATAAAGTAATAAAAAAATACAAAATAATCTCATAACTCATTATTCTACTTATACCATTTATTTGACAGCTACTACTCGGCACTCACTATTCTCTATTCATTTCTCCATCTCTATTCTTTTCTTCTTTCTTCTTTGAAACCTAACTTAACCCATTTCTTCTTTTCTTTTTACAGTAAAATTAACTCAACCAATTTTAGAATTTTAGGAGAAAAAAAACACAATAGAGCCATGGGAGAAAGAATCATAAACCAAGAAACACATACAAGTTTCTATCTATGTATGTTCTTTCTTTAATTTTATATTTTTTTTCTTTCAAAACATGAAGATAAACTACTTTGATTTGAACAAACTTACCGATTAAACTGCACTGCCGTCGTCTCACACTCTCACCGTCGCCGTTTTGTTTTTTTCTTTCTAATATTGTTTTGTTTTTGGTTTATTATGTGATGTATATAAACAACTTTGTTTTGGGTTTCTTTAATGCCGACGTTTCATTTTCCTTGGCGTCTTTTCGGTTTTAGGTTGCGTTTGGAATGAGGAAAAATAATATATATTTTAAATTTTTTCATATTAATTAGATTTCAAAAAAAAAAAAATAGGCCCCCAAAATTTTGGGGCCCAGTTCCATAGAGCCTGTTGCGCCTGTGAAAGGCCGGCCCTATATATATATATATATATATATATATATATATATATATATATATATATATATATATATATATATATATATATATATATATATATATATATATATATATATATATATATATATATATATATATATATATATATATATATATATATATATATATATATATATATATATATATATATATATATATATATATATATATATATATATATATATATATATATATATATATATATATATATATATATATATATATATATATATATATATATATATATATATTTTATAATAGCATTTAAGATAAAAGCGCTATTAAAGATTCAAGTAATTTATTATTTAATTCTAACATATGATAGCGTCCGTGACAAAAGCGCTACTATAGTTTTTGAGGTAACAAATATAATAGCATTTTACATATAAGCACTATTAAATATGTGATATTATTGATAAAAAATGTAGTAGTGATGATGAATGGAGATGAAATCATATGAATATCTATGATGTGTTGTCATTATAAAGGTGAAATAATCATGAATCAATGGTGTTGTTTGATAATGTTGAGTGTTAATCCTACTGATTATGCTAGTGTGTGATTGTAAATAATTGATGATGATGTTGTGTTGAATGTGTAAGTTGTGATATTGACATGCTACCATATGAGCATAAATTATATTAATGTATTATGTCATGTTATTGTGGGATAATAGTTCGGGAGGAGAATTATTATCGTTGAATCAATGCAGATTTTGTTTATTGCCGAGGGAGGACTTTAAACATTATGTTGTTGTTGTATTGATGTGTATTGACATGCATCATTATGTCGTTATTGTTGATGAAAGCGACAAGTTGCAATCCGAGCATAGTGGGTTGGTGACTTGTCTCGAATACGAGTATGGTGGATTTGGGGTTTGAGGAGGGTGAACTCGGTTCTTGAGTGAACTAGTTGATAATGATATGATACCACATGTATATGAGTCTAGTTGAAGTTGTGAGTCTCATTGCATAATTTAATTGATGAATATGCGATTGCTTCGTGTATGTTGGATTGGGTGTGAGAATGATGTTATGCGATTGATGTGGATTGTGTAGTTGTTTGAATTCTACCTTGCAATTTATGCCGTTAATTTATTGATGTTATTCTCACTCTCCCTTTGCTTTGGTGTTGTCCACCATGGACATCTTGCAGATAATCAGGATTTGAAATTGTTGTTGTGAATGGAAGATAACTTTTAAAGTTATTTTCATTTAATTTCGTTGTTTATTTAGTGCCTATACTCTGATCATGTAACATTAGAGTTGTGACGCTTGTTATAATTATTGAATTCGAATTATTATTTTTGAGGAATTTTTATGACGTTATTTTGAAATTGAGAATAAACATGATTTTGTCAAATATTTTAATTTGATTTTTCACAGCTATTTGAATAAAATGAAAATGTTTTAAAGTTGATAATACTTTAATTAGCATATAATCCTTATTATATAAGTTTGGAGATTAAGGTGTTAGTACATGTACATGCATGTATAATATTCATCTCATCTAAAATAATAGATATGCATACAATATCTTAAAGTGTAATCACCATCCACGGTGAGATTCTAAATGACAACACAAAATTGGCCACATCAGTGGAGTGAGATTTGAAGAATATGCTCAATATAATTTAATTTAACTTTTACGAATTTAAATTAAAGAAAGATTAAATAAATAATTAATATATTATTAAGTTAAAAAATCAATTTTGACTAGTGGATAAATCATACAGAATTCATTCTCTTTCATTTTCAAGTAATACACATGACTCGGAGATTCATACAAACTAACCACTAAAAACATCAACAACCAGATGCACGAAATTTTCATTACATCTAAAAAAAAGAACTCATTCAATTATTCACCTATAAAAAATGACTTTTGTACATATTTATGCTATGTGAAAAAGAATACTTATATATAAGTTTGAAATACAAAGTGATTGTAAATTATAACTTCTATTATATTTATGTATTTTATATCATGCATCAATCAAATAACATATTTTTTTAATAAATAATAACACAAAAAATTATATTTTATTATATTTTGGATAAAGTTTAAACCGAGATTGAAGATAGAAATTGTATTATAAAAGCAAAGGTGATTCTTAATTAATTTAAACTTAAAAATTGAAGAAAAATCAAAGTATATGAAGATTTTTATGATTTAAGAAATTTTAAGATATTAATATTTTAAAAAAGTATAAAAATTTATATAAAATTAAATAATAATTTCTTAACCTATGACTTTAAGTTTATTGGACATAAACTAATTAGTTAGAACTAATTATCATTATGAAAATAATTACTAAAGTGTATTATTAGCTTACATATATTCTTTTTTGTATTAGTTTTTAGCCTTTCCTTTTATTATTTGCTTATTGTAAGTTTATTGCTGAGCTGGCATATCATTGCTCTTTGTATATATGCCTCATTTTTGTACAAACACTGTGAGCTGAATAATACAGAAAAGTTTCTTCCATCTTCCTCTTTCATTGTGAGCAATATGCATACATTCGGTTATGCATTTGATACTTTCTGTTATGCACATTCAACCATTATTAATATGGTATCAGAGCTCACAAAGCTCTGGTAGCCATTGTTAACCGTTTTCCTTCTGCGATTGCTTCTTCTTTCTCACATCGTTTCTTGATTCAATCGCATTTTTCCCTTCTCTTTTCTTGAGTCTTTCAATGGCAAACCAGAGCTACGCCGATTTTTCAACCAACTCTGCAAATCCGTTTTATCTCCATCCGAACGAAAATCCAGCTCTCGTTCTTGTCACGCCACCTCTCAACGACAAGAACTATCATACTTGGGCTAGATCGATGCAAATTGCTCTCATATCCAAGAACAAGGACAAGTTCATCGGTGGAACCCTAACGAAGCCTCCTGTTTCAGATCCATTGTATGCGCCATGGATTAGGTGTAACACCATGGTTCTTGCATGGATTCAATGTTCAATTTCAGAGTCCATCGCAAAATCTGTTCTATGGATTGATAATGCTGCTGGTGTTTGGAAGAATTTGCAGATTCGGTTTTCTCATGGCGACATCTTCCGCATCTCTGACATTCAAGAGGATCTCTACAAATTCCGTCAAGGTACTCTCGATGTATCCAACTATTTTACTCAATTGAAAGTGATGTGGGATGAGTTAGAGACCTATCGTCCGATTCCTGTATGTTCTTGTGTGATTCCTTGTTCGTGGGGTGCCAATACTTCTGTTAAAACCTACAGAGAACAAGATTATGTTATTAGATTTCTTAAAGGATTGAATGAAAAATTTGCTCAATCCAAAACACAATTTATGATGATGAATCCTTTGCCAAGTATTGACAAAGCTTTCTCTCTTGTTATTCAACAAGAACGGGAAATGGATAGTGCAAATTTTAATGTGATTACCTCTGTTCCTACCAATGATGAGGCACCTGCTTTGGTAAATTCAACTCAGGCACATAGCAATTATACTGCAAAGCATGGTAGTAACAGCTTTCGAGCTCGGAATCAGACTTCACAAGCTTCAAGAGGAAACAACCGCATTTGCACACACTGTAATAGGACGAATCATACAGTTGATACATGTTTTCAGAAGCATGGATATCCACCGGGTTTTCGAGGTAAACCTTAGGGTCAAGGCAATCCAAATGTTTCTTCTCCAACTGTCACTGCTAATAGTGCTTCAGAGGCTTCTCCTAAGGATCTCAATTCCACTTCATATGGATTTACTCAAGAACAGTATAACAACATTCTAGCATTGATTCAACAGTCCAAGTCTA